GGGGGGCCGGGGGGGGGGGAGGGGCAGGGGCACGAGCCAGTTGTGAGCACCTCTGTGCTCCCAGGAGAGCCTGAGGTGCGCTACGTGGCCGGCATGCATGGGAATGAGGCCCTGGGGCGGGAGTTGCTCCTGCTCCTAATGCAGTTCCTGTGCCGTGAGTTCCTGAGAGGGGAACCGCGGGTGACCCGGCTGCTCACTGAGACGCGCATTCACCTGCTGCCCTCCATGAACCCTGACGGCTATGAGACTGCCTTCCGCCGGGTAGGCCACTTGGCCCGAGGGCCAGCCTGCTCCTTCTGTCGTGGTGCCCGGAGCCTGCTTGGCTTGAACAAACTTCGTCCCTGGCAGGGCTCGGAGCTGGTGGGCTGGGCAGAGGGCCGCTGGAACCATCAGGGCATTGACCTTAACCATAATTTTGCTGACCTCAACACACCACTGTGGGAAGCAGAGGATGATGGGCTGGTGCCTGATACTGTCCCCAACCATCACCTGCCACTGCCTACTTACTACACCCTACCCAATGCCACTGTGAGTATTCTGGGGGCAGTGGTGGAGGGCCACCCTAGGGGCCTTTGTCTCTGTCTCCCACCCCCCTGACCTGCCCTTGTCCAGGTGGCTCCTGAAACGCGGGCAGTGATCAAGTGGATGGAGCGGATCCCTTTTGTGCTAAGTGCCAACCTCCACGGGGGTGAGCTCGTGGTGTCCTACCCCTTCGACATGACTCGGACTCCGTGGGCTGCCCGAGAACTCACGCCCACCCCAGATGAGGCAGTGTTTCGCTGGCTCAGCACTGTCTATGCTGGCACTAATTGGGCAATGCAGGACCCAGATCGCCGACCCTGCCACAGCCAGGACTTCTCCTTGTATGGCAACATCATCAACGGGGCTGACTGGCACACAGTTCCTGGGAGTATGTGCCCAAGGGTGGGGTTAGCTCTGTCCCCATAACTCTGCCCAATAAGACAGTCTGCTCTCACATAACCACTGGTGTCAACTGTCACCAGGAAGTGTCTCCCAGAGGAGGGCACCAGGAGGGCAGGGCTCCCATCCCGCCCCTTTAGGCTCCAATGTCTGCGG